TCTTGTCCCCCTCCCTGTTTTTATATTATCTTTGCTTCCCTTCCCTTCTGTTCATCTGTTTGTATCTTAAATTCCTCATATGAGTGAAGTCATAGGATATTTGTCTTTCTCTAATTTCACTTAGCATAATGCCCTCCGGTTACATCCATGTGGTTGCAAATGGCAAGATTTCATTCTTTTTGATTGCCGAGTAATACTCCATTGTATCTATAAGCCACACCTTCTTTATCCATTCATCCGTCAATGGACGTTTGGGATGTTTCCATACTTTGGCTATTGTCAATAGTGCTGATATAAACATTGGGGAAAATTGCATGTATATTTTAACTTTAAATTGAAGTACACAATTTTATCACTTGTCTATTACCAGAGTAATGCCTCTTAACAACTTACGTAAAGTTGGTGATCCAATCTGGGCTTGGTTGAAGTATTCTTCTGATCTCTGGTTTCATGCACCTATCTGGGAGTCAGCTGGTTATTGGTTCATCTAGGATGGCCTTGGCTCTGACGACTGGGCAACTTGGCTGTCCTCTCCTCTAGCAGACTAGCATGGATATGTTTTAATGGAAATTGCACAGGAGCAATAGCAGAAGCAGAAATGTGCAGCATTTTCCAAGCCAATGCTTTAGTCACATTCGCTGAGATCTCATTGGCCAAAGCAAGTCACATGGCCAAGCCCTGAGTCAGAGTGGGATGGCATAAAAAAATCACATGGGGATGGCCTGAATACAGGGAAGGGTAAAGGATTGGAGTCATTTTTTTTTTCCATGTTGGCACAAATATAAATATAGGAAAGTATACATATATCCTTATACTTAGTATAAGTGCTCAATGTGATGAATTTTACAAACTGAATACATCCATCTAAGCAGCATCCAGATTAAGAAACAGAGGTTTACCAGATTTCAGAAGCTCACCTCATGCTTCTTTTCATTCACTTCTTCTCACCCTCACTCCAAGGGTAATCATTATCCTGCTTTATAACAATATAGATTAATTTTGCCTGTTTTTATACTGTATATAAATGGAAGCAAATGATGCATAAATACTATTTCGCATCTGGCTTCTTTCATTCAATATTTTGTTCATGATATTCATCCACCCTTCTGCATGCAGTTGGCAACTGTTTGTTTTCATTGTTGTGTGATATTACTTTGTTTGAATATTTTATTTGTCCAGTCTACTGTGGATGGGAATTTGGATCGTTTCCAGTTTGGGCCCATCATGAATAAACCTGCTATAATCATTCTTGTAAAGGTCTTTTGGTAGAAGTGTGTATTCAGCTTTTTGGGGGCATATACCTGGAAGTGGAGTTACTGAGTTATATGTTACATACAGTATGTTTTTCTACACATTACCAGAGTTTTCCAAAGAGATTTTACCAATTTGCCCATCCCACGGTAATGTATGAAAGTTCTGTTGCTCCATGTTGTATATGGATTTTTGAGGACATTTTTCTTTTGTCCTCTTCATATAGCATGAGGGTACATTGTGAAAATCCTCACCCTCTTCTCCTAACTAGAATTCTGTCTCTGTGGGATATTCTTTATACCTGTAAAGGAAATATAATCAAAACACCTTAAAATCAAGGATTTCTTGTTTTAATAAACCCAGTGCCTTATTACTTTCTTGTAATAAGTTTAGTTGGTTCACCTCAGATCTGAACTTGAACACTATTCCTTCATTTCTCTCCTCTGTATTCCTCCCACCCCGTTGAAGTGTGGTTGCTTCCTGCTACATTGAACAAGCAAATGGTCATCTCCCTGATTCGGTCTCCAAGGAAGGGTCACTATGTGTGCACAGAATGGTAGCGTGTTTTGGTTCCAGGCACATTCACAGAGACTAGGATGATATGAGGACATTTTGATGAATGAACCAAAAGAGCTAGTGTTCTGTGTTCAAGAGCATTGTTATAGCCCTGTGGCAGGAAATGAGCTGTGTGAAGACAGAAAGCAGTTATCATTAAAACATTTTCCCCATATTCCTGGTGCCAATCATTTCTGTTGGCTCTTTTTTTTTAAGTTTTTTAATTTATTTTGGGAGAGAGAGAGAGAACCAGAGAGAAAGGGAGAGAGAGAGAGAGAGAGAGAGAGAGAGAGAGAGAGAGAGAGAATCCCAAGCATGCTCCACACCATCAGCACAGAGCCCTAAGCAGGGTTTGGACTCGTGAACTGTGAGATCATGACCTAAGCCGAAATCAAAAGTCAGAGACTTAACCAACTGAGCCACCCAAGTGCCCCTTCTGTTGCCTCTTTCTCCCAGGGAGAAAGGAAGAAATGTCTTGACTTGCAAAGATCTTTATAGAACATAGAATATTTGAGGTATGTTGAAGAACTAATCCTTCTCTCTACCATTTCTTCTGTTTTACAAAGTTAAGCTAGAGACCAGCAACGAGAAACGGTAATCAGTGTTAAAGGATCGAGGCACAAATCTTGGGGTTTGTGGAGTCCTAGGGCCTGCACACTGATGAATGTAGAATAGATACATAATAAACGCATGTTGATTTATGGGTGACTTTTCAGAAGTCCTTATTGGTTTCTACCGAAAGACGAAAATTCTTGGCCAGGTAGGTTTTCCTCACAGGTTGGTCCCATGGTATAAATAGATGCCATCTTGGATGTAAGTTGGGAGAACTGGGTTGTAAACAGATCTTAAAATATCAACACATATTTTAATAGAGTATTTGATATAAAATATTGGCTGGCAAATAGCAACTGGGCTAAACATTAAATTTAATTAATATAAAGTCTACAACCAGCTCATAAGTTTAAGCCCGTTGTGGAGATTTCATCATGGCTGCTGGTGTCACACCATGGAGGCTCCCGGGTAGTACTAGTGTGATATAGGTAGTAGGTCATGACACGATGGCAGGGAGGCCGTTGGCTCCCTGCTCTAAAGCACCAGAGCTTTGACAGCGGCAGCCAAGCAGGTAGTGAGACAGGTAGTAATAGTGGCATTTCCAGTAATGGCAGGCTTCAAGGTGGCGTTGTCACTGGGGGCTGCAGTGTAGGCTCTACGGGTCCACCCAGGAAATACTGACATGCAGGAGTATGTACACAGTTCTGAAGTGTGGACAGCATGCCTCGCCAGCTTCCCATTGTAACCGTGCACCAGGGACAGGGACCGGATGACTGTCGATTCAATGGAAGGTCATTGGAAGAGGTTGAGGCAGTTTCCTCTGTCACAATCATGGCTCAGGAGATCAGTTAGCTAGTCTCCATCAAACGATCATACGAACAATTTGTGAAAAACATTTCTACAAATCAACAAATGATGTGGATATTGTTAGAATATTCTGCCGAATGATTTGCAGTTTACTTAGAAAATAGTATTTAACTCATTGGGGTGCCCAGGTGGCTTAATCGGTTGAATATCTGGCTCTTGATTTTGGCTCAGGTCATGAGCCCAGGGTCATGGGATTGAGCCTGCATTGGGCTCCATGCTGGGTGTGGAGCCTGCTTAACATTCTCTCTCTCCCTTTCCCTCTGCCCCTCCCCTGCTCATGCTCTCTCTCAAATAAAAGAAAAAAGAAAGACAAGAAAATGGTATTTAACTCACTTAGAAAGTGATTCTGAGGAAAAACCTGGTTATGATCCTGGCTTGTTCTTTAATTAGTTATGTGACATTACACCTGCCATTGTATTTCTCTTCGTATTTCCTTAATCCTTTTACCTGTAGTAAGGTGATGTTGGATTAGGTGATCTGTGAGAGCCTTTCTGTCACAAACTTAGTGTGATTTTATGGTGTGGGAGCTTTACCACCTATACTGGAAGATATGGATGGACTTTGGAGTTGGAAGCAGGGTCCCTGATCTTGCATGGCTGTTCTTTGTAAGAAAATCCACTTGTCCCCAGCTCCCTGGCACTTCTCAGGCTTGGGGTTCTAAAATCTGAACTTTGGAAGAACCTCGCCTTTGAGGTTAAGCACAAAG